GTCCCATTTGACCCAGCTATTCCCCTGCTGGGTATCTTCCCAAAAGAATTAAAAGAATCATACCACAGCGATACATGTGCACCCATGTTCATAGTGGCACAGTTTGTAATAGCTAAAGCTTGGAAGTAGCCCAAGTGCCCATCAACTGGAAACTGGTTAAAGAAAATGTGTTTTTTAAAAATAAAATGGAGGAGTACTCAGCCATAAAGAATGAAAAACTAGAGTCATTTATAGCTAAATGGATGCATATCGAGGCCATACACTTAAGTGAAATAAATAGGACACACATGTAAATACCGAATAGTTTCACTAGTGTGAGAAACTGATAGTGTAAACAAGAGTTAAAATGATTAAAATGAATAATTGATAATTTGAAATAGGAAAAAAGCTCCAAAGACGAAGGAGTGAAGGAAGGGGAAGGGGAAAGGAAAAGAGGGAAAGGAAAAACTATGAGAAAAGAAAAGAAAAAAATGGAAATGAAATCTATGTAAATAGGGAAGGGTGCACAGGTAATGGGGAAAAAAAAATAACCAAGATATATCATGTACAGGTACAAACACCCAATGATAAATGTAAATGGATTGTGTACCTAAAATATACCAATAAAAGAACTAAAAAAAAAAAATTCAGATCATTAAAATCTGTTGTTTCTCTAATAAAGCTCAGTACAGCTGGACTACCAGAGTATACCTTACAATATGAAGTATAGATAATTTCTATCTAGTTTGACCCTTCAGACTTGCTCTGGGCTCAGAAGTTGAACCCTGTATCACATCTTCTCTTTACCTAGTACCCATTAATACTGAAACATAAGCTGTACCACCAATCAAAGCAATGCTGTTTTCTTTAGCAGAAGCTGGGTAGGAGAGCTAGAGTTCTTTGTAGTGGCAATAAACTGGAAATAGAGTGGCCACGTATGAATAGAAGAATGATTGAGTGTGATATGATAACATTCGCACCATGGTATATTATGGAACAATTAGAAATAATAGACTGGCTCTCTTAGGGAAAGGAGGTAGACCCTTTCATCTACATGAATTGAATGAGAATAGTAAGATGCAAAAAGTGTGTATAGCATGATCCCAGTTTTACAAAATAGTAATTAAATGAAATCTTTTGTAAAAATGCCTTAAATATGTCTGTTTCCATATTGTGTGAAAGGTTGAAGCAGGAGGATCACCTCTAGTTTGAGGCCAGCCTGAACTACATAGTGAGGTTTTTGTTCTTGTTTTTGTATTTGTATTTTTGAGCTGGGATCTCACTGTATAGTCCAAGCTGGCCTTGAACTCATTATGTAGCCCAAGCTAGCCTTGAACTTGCAGCAGTCCTCCTGCTCAGCCTCCCGAGTGCTAGGATTACAGGTGTGCAGCACCAGGTCCAGCCAGTAGTGAGTTTAAAAACAGTATGAACTACATAGTGAGACCCTGTGTCCAAACAAAAAAATGTATATAACATTCATTGTATTTTGCGATCAGTCATACAAAGTGTCCATTGGGGGAAGAAATGGCATATTTTGTTTGGCATTTGAGGCTATTTTAGCAAGGTTTCCAGTTCCCTGTCTGATCTTTCTAAAGCAAAGCCAATCATGAAGCAAATCTGCTCATACACACAAAGCCCTCAGTTGGGTTTTGGTACCTCACATTTGAGCCTGAATGAACAAGCAAAGATTACTTACTAGACAGCTGAGAAAAAGCTCTCAGATCAGAGATCTAGAGGAGAAGCAAAGATAATGCAGAAAACATGGAAGACAAGAAAAGCCCCAGTTCACATCTGCAGCTAGAGTAGAGGTAGTTTTGTATCCATGAAACAAGCTCAGGATGTTGTGAAAAAGGAACATTCAAGAGAGCATGAAGTTACTAAAAATTTTTAAATATAAAATGTCATGTAATAAACACATTACAATAGCTCTTTTGTGAAAGTGAACGGGACTATGAGATGGAGAGAGTAGGGAGGGAGGGGAAGCCAGTGAAAAAATGATTCAGATGTGTTATGTACATGTACTGACTCCCCACAGAGGGATATAATCATCATGTACTGCAAACGTACCAATAAAAATTAAAAAGAAACACATTAGAAAGTTTGGAAGATCAAGTTGAGCCAAGCACTCAGAAAACAGAAACAACAAAAAAGTGTAGAAAACATGAAGAAAAGAACATTGTATATGGTTGACTCAAGAGGTTCAATATGTTGTTACTGAGAAACTGAAGGGATATGTTTCTAGAAAGTAGTCTAAAATAATGGGTCTGTGTTGCAAGTATCCACCAATGCTCAGCACAAATAATGGATTGAAAATACAACGGGAGCATGTCGCTGTAGTTTCAGAACCCAGGCATAGAGAGAAGCCATATGCCCTCGCAGAAAACAACATGCCACCTAAAGGGACTGAACATCAGATAACATCAGACTTCTCCTTAGTAGTACTGGTCCTGAAATATGGTGGCACGATGCCTTTAAAGCAGATTTTCAGCCTGAAACATTAGACTAAACCAAGCCACCAGTCAAACAAAAAGGAAGCCTTCAACTATTTTTAGACATACATGGAATTCAAAAATTGACTTCCCACATACCCTTTCTTGAAAAAACATATGGATATTTTCTAGCAAATTGGTGTGACTCGAGGGGAAGTCACAGGACGACAGTTGTTACATTCAAATGAATGTTAATGGATGAGTAGTGGTTTTTGCTGAGGAGTTTCTTTTCTTTTTTTTCCTTCTGCTTGAACTGTTTATTTCTCCTTTCCACTATGAGGGGGGGTCAGATAGAAATCATACAGTAAAACAAACAAGTTCAGTGTGAAAAAACAGACTGTGATAACACAGTAACTATAGACCTCAGACTCCAGAAAAGATACACAAATGACGAAGAGCCTATGAGAAGAGGCTTAGTGTCCTGTCATTGAATATTAGAGAGATGCAGATCAAAATCAAAGAAGGCATCTAGTGGTCACATTCACAGAAGCAGAAAGTAGAATGGCGCCTCCTCAAGGCTGGGAGGGGGAAAAATGGAGTTGTTTCATGGGGACAGAGTTTCGGTTTTGCCAGGTTAAGAGTTCTGGTTGCGCCACAGGGTGAATATAACACTACTGAACAATATACTTAAAATGCTTTTTTTAAAGGGCAGACTGTGTGTAGTATATATTTTACCACAATTAAAACATTATTTTCTAAAAGGATGTAACTATAGATTGTCAAAGTTGTAACAGAGGTGCTCCCAGCTAAGGAGCAGGACAAGAAATTTTGCAAAAGGAATTCAAGAGGGCCTGTTTTTTAAACTCCAGGTGGAAGGAGAGGTGTAAAATCACAAACAAACATAGTGCAAACAGAAAAGCAACTAGGAACTAAACAGCTCCACAAAAAGTAAAAGGTAATCACAGAATACTGCATAGCTCATAGTGAATATAGTAATTTATATTCTTATAAAGCAGATGCTATTGTTGATTTAACTGAAAACAGGAACATAGGTAATGTAAGGCAAATTCATATCTATCATTGTGGGCACTACACCATTAAAATCTCAAATTACTACATCAAGAAATAGCAACCTATGTACAGTATATTATGGAGAGATGTGAAGGACCTGAGTCTTCCCATATGTATTAGAGTAGATCATTAAGTGAAAATAAAATAAGGCAGAAAAGATTGATGGTATGCTCCCATTTGTTTTTGTTTTAAAGATAAATACCAGCATTCAGGAGGCTGAGGCAGAAGAACTATTAAGTTTGATGCCAGCTTGCACCAACATAGTGAGACTTCTGTCTCAAAAAACCAAACGAAGAGGGAGAAAAAGATGGGCATATAGCCATATAAAGAGAGGTTTGTTTGTTTGAGATTGGGCCTCACTGTGTTGCCTCACTGGGCTTGACCTCACAATCCTCCTGCCTCGGCCTCTCAAGTAACTGAGATTATAGGTATGCACCACTGCCCAGCTAGAGAGAACATTTTCTTAAAGATAGCCAAGAAACAGTATGTGTTGCGTCTAAGGAGAAAACCTGTGTCGTTGGGAGGGAGTAGCTTTCCTTTTCATTAACCATCTTTTTGTACTACGTGTATTTTTGTGAGCATGTATTACTTTAAAAGTGAAAATGTGATGAGATATTAATGTTTAAAATTATTAATGAAAAATGAAAGAAGTTGTACACTACATTAGTTCAGGTAGATACAATTACTGCTTGCTAGCTAGGGGAAAATTAGATAAAGCTTTTATTAGGGAGCTAACATCTGAATTTTGCTGTGTCATATAAACAACACAGGCAGGAAAATGTAAGATGTCTCGTGGCTCCATGGGCTTATTATACACAGTGCGGGGTGGGGGGGGTTGGGTTAATACAGTAAAATCTTAACTGTTGCCAGAGAATGGCTGGCTTTCATTAATTTAATTTGCAGGTAAATAGAATTAGGCATATTGAATACCTTTTTAAAATATAGCCTATACTTGTCTACCTTATTAATTTTACTCTGAATTTAAGGGTCTAGTGGTGCTGTAGATTGAGGAGAAGTATACAGTGTCAAGGGCAGCCAGTTTGGGTGTGATCACTGTCTCCCTGGGCGTGACCCTGCAGCTTGATGGTTATAACACAACCCATCACTCCCAGGGGTTGCCTCTACTACAGAATGTTGGAAATGCAGATCTCTTAGTATCTCTACACCTTTTACCATGAAAACATTCCTGGAAAGTATCATCTAAGATAGTGAATAATGAGTTTTCATGATCTTTATTACAAAGACTGAGAACCACTGTTTTGAAGGAAAAGTAGTCACGAAGACACCCCACACACATACACGCTCACCATATCATTTTAAATTATTTTTATTACAATAGCACTGAAATATGTACAAACTGACACTAGCTCAAAAGTGGCCTCTATCCCATAGGTGACCCTGCCTGGCTTAAGACATTGTAGCTAGTGCTTTTTTCATTTTCTAGTTTCAAAATTACCACCATATTAATACCACTTTTCTTTGTATTTAATAGGGAAAAAGAACAAGAAACACAAGAAGAGGAACATTTGATGGAAGAAAAGAAAAAGAAAAAGCAGGAAGAAAAGAAAAAGAAGGAAGGTGCTCAGAAAAAGGTTTGGCTAGAGTTACTAGCTTCATTGTCCGTGCAGTCATTAGGTGTCTCATTTGCATTATCATAGCCATTACCCTGACTAACTTTCATTCTACAGTATTATTCTTTTACATCAATATGCTAAATCTGTACTTAGCAAGTAATAGATGTTGTCTAGTGGAATAAATACTGGGTGACAGCTGCAAAATGTCTTTCCTAAAGAACTAGAAACATTACAGCTGTATTTCAAGAAGCTTGATGTTGTTGGGGTTGTTGGGTTGCCCATGCCAGTCTACTTAAAATGAACGGATGTCAAAGAAAGAAGGAAAGGGACATTAAACTGCTATTAGTAGAAAAGCTAGAGACAATTTTTGCACTTTTGCCAAATGTCCTTTTACAAATCCTGTTAGTAAATATTAAAAATAAAAATTTCTGTAAACTTATAGTCATGTTTCTTAAGCTGGCCATGGTGACACAGGCCTGTAATCTTACCTACTCAGGAGGCTGAGGCAAGAAGATTGCAAGTTCAAGGCCAGCCTGGGCAATTTAGTAAAACCCTGTCTCTAACTTTGAAAAAAAAAAGAAAAGGCTGGGAATATAGCTCATCACTCTCTGAATTCAATCCCCAGTACTGCAAAAAAAAATGCAAGTTATACCATTTGTCTTTGTTCTTGCTAGGTCAATGTATCTTGTGGTCTAAACTGTGTATCTGTTAGACTATATTAAAATATAGAGCTCAAGTGAGTTTCCATACAGAATTTTTTTGCCTTTACATTGATATTGGTATGTATTTAATAACATATAGAAATACATTTTTCCCAGGAACAAATTATAATACATTAACTGGACAAAAACTTGTTTTTAAAATTTCCAGTATTAGAGGTCTGCTTATAAACTTTCATATGTGTGTACATTCTACACATTATTTTTCCTAAAGACTTTCTGATTTTTTTTTCCAGGCTGCTGATCAAAAAACCAAAGGTAAGTTTATTTATATTTGGGGGGTACATTTTATGACAGTACCAAACTTTTTTATCATGAGAGTGACTTTTTTTCCGTTAATGAGTCTACTTTTTATTTTCCATTGTGAAATTCTTCATTTATCATTGATGGTACATCTGCATCTCATTGACATTTGTTTGCTTAGTTATTAAATGCCTAAAGAATGTAATATTAGCCTTCTAAACAATGTTTTTAAATTTTCATTTGATTTTCACCATGTAAGGATTGAACTGATAGGGTTGATTCAGTTGGAATAAGAACAACCAAAGAATAGTGACTTTTTCTAAAGCTTCCAGTTCCCCCTTGCCAATTACTCTTTATAAAGGTGTAGTCTTCTGGCATTATTTTTTTCATACTGATAGGTGAGATTTCTTTTGTGTCCTCCAAGTTTAGGACTTGCTCACTGTTATCTGAAGGGCAGTCTGTGGAAACACATGCAGTTCTCCTCATAGCTCAGATGTCCCTGGGCTGCTGGGGAGATCCAGAAAGATCCCAGCCTCTCCATTCCCTACCTGACATGGTTAGGTATTTTCCAGTGGTTAACACACACATCGGGGTCACATACAAGCTGTGTTTCATTTGACTCAAGTTACTTCCCTTCTTTAATCCTGAGATATCTTATATTTAAAATAAGAAGAGTCACAAATTATTTCTGCTTCATAAGGCTATTTAAAGACAAAATGAGACCATACAAGAGAATAGCTCAATTTTGATCACATAGCTGCTGCTCAGACAAGGGTCACTATAACTGTTAGTACTTGAAAGTTTTCATTTTCCTTTGGAACCATCACATGTACACAGTTGTACACGCAGATACATGCACCATAAAGGTTTTGAGAGAGTGCTGTCTTGGGTCACAGTCACTACTAATCCTTTCCTTTTGTTTGACATCTTGTAGTTTTCAAAAGTTATGTATATTATCTCATTTGAACTTTCTGACCGAGCAGGATAGGAACTTGTTTACAAATAGTCCTCCTGGTGAATTAATTGCCCTGTCCTTGGCTTGACAGTGGTAAAGGTAGGACTGGGGGAGCCCAGAGCTTCTGACCCTGGTGTATTGGCCTGGTGTATTGGCCTCAGCGCCTTGTCCTAAGAGTCATATTAAAGATGAATTTTAAATGAATGTTAAAAGGCAGCAGAGTGAAAGGACATTTTCTTCTCTGCTCTTAGAAGTACTAGTAATTTACATTAACATTTTTTCAGAAGGATCCAAAAAGGTTGCTACATAGTTGTATTTGAATTTATGATCTCATAAGAAATAATGGTTTCTGAAAATTGTTAATCAAAAATATCTGAATCCTTCATTTTCTCTTTTTTTAATGTGAAATTTTTACAATCTGGTTCAATCCCAGCTCTGTTCTATATTCACTCCCCTTGTAATTATTTTCTTATCAAATAATAACTGATAGTTTATTATTGTAATGTGATTGCAAATTACATTGTCCTTCTGGTGGATACAGAATTATTGTTTTCTGGGCCAGGGATTTAGCTTAGTGGTGCCACGCCTGCCTGGCAAGTCCAAGGTTCTGAGTTTGATTGCTGGTACCCCCAAAAAATTATTTCCTATTACTGTACTGACAAGTGTTTTTATCACTGACTCCAAACTATTGGGTTTTTATCTTTTCTCAAATACTGCTCCTCTGGGTACAGTTTATGAGTAACTACTAACTAGCCTTAGGACAGGATAGTAATGATTGCTCTTGTCCTTCTAAACAAAAACATGCTTTTGAATTAAGAAGAATCTTAACAGTACTGGAGGTAATTCACTAATGAATATTAGCATCATTGGGTTTAAATTTTACTCAGACTCTCCATTGTTACTGGATCAATAAATCAGCTGCTGCAGGTTGAGTGTTCTGACTTTCTGAGTGGACCCTGGTGTTAAATAGTACAGACTTGGCCTGACAGAAGAAATGGGGTATGTTATAATAGTATTTGTGCTCACACATAAAGTAGATTTGCTTTTCTAACATGCCAGCATTTTGATTTTCCCTGCTCTGGCCTATTAGTCCATAAGGCAGGAGCTCCATTTACCCGTTCCCTCTCTCTTCTCCAGCAGTCCCTCGGTTAGGGACTGTTTTCAGACCATGTACTAGGCCCTTACATTTATTATTATTATTATTATTATTACTATTATTACTATTACTATTATTATTATTTTGGTACCGGGGATCAAACTCGGGTCCTTGCGCTTGCGCAGCAGGTGGTGAAACCACTGAGCTAAATCCCCGGCCCTTTGTTTGTTTGTTTGTTTGGTACTGGGGATCGAACTCGGGTCCTTGTGCTTGCGCAGCAGGCGGCGAAACCTTACATTTATTATTTCTCATTGTTGGTGGTATTGTTTCCAGGGTACAGAGTAAGCTGAAACTGTGAAAGTTTGCAAGCAAGGGATTGGCAGGGCTGATATGCTCGGAATCTTCCTGCAGGAAAGGCACACAGCAGATACTCCCCTGTACTGCTTTGCCACCATGCCCCAGAGGCGGAAGGGCACTCATAGAAAGGACCAGCTGACTGTTGGCACAATCAGAAAGGGACAAAGCTGAGACCAGGTTAGCCTGCCCGACTGGATGTCAAGGCCCACTCCAGCGCTACTAGGAGCCATGGACCTAACATCCCAAGGCCTAAGTTGTTTGAATGTAGGAAAGAGTTTAACAATCTGAGTGAGTTCAAAAGTTAAATAGAGGGGCTACAGTTTAAATTAGATTGTGTAATATGCTGAATCAACTTTTAAAAGTTTGAATTGTTTTGGTTTTTATAATTAGCTCACATGAAACCAAATCAATTGGTAATTTCCTTGTCCTACAGTAATTATGTGCCATTCAAATACTAGTATTAGGAAACCCCTGCTTCCCATTAGTTAGCGTTATATTTGACTTAATTTTCTCCATAACTGAAACTTAACCTCTTTCAGTTTTGATTTATTTTTAACATTTTAAGAGAACTCTAGAATGTCATATACATACACAGGGATTATACTTTATGTCTTCTCCCACAGAGTATTAACTAGTCTTGATAGATAAGTCTTCATTATAGTCTTAATTATGCCTAAGAACCTTTTTTTCCACATCTGTCACCATTGAACTTGAACTGGGAATCTTCATGTAAAAAATTGACACAGAACTATCTTTTTTGAATAATGCAGTCTGTTATGTAGTACGCCTCCTCCCCTCCCCCATGAATATGAAATGAGGCTTCTACAAAGTCTGCTTTGCAAAATCACAGTTAAAACAGGAATTTTGTCCCTCTCTGTCTTTTCAATCCCTGACCTGTGACTTCTTTGTGAAGTTAATTTTTTTCTTTTTAATGTGCAAGCCAAGAGAGTCAATTGTGTGAAATATCATGCTGCCCAGGTTGATAATCCCATGGCCTGTCCTTGTGTGCTGGTGTGACCATTTTCTCTGCAGCCAGGGGACAGCTCTGGCAGTTTTCATTCAAACATGAAATTCACTTTGATTTTTCAGTTTCCCTCTCCTGACTCCTGGTTCTCCTCGTTATCTCTCAGTAGCAACATCATACAGTGGGGTTGATATTTTATGTGCCTAAAGAACATAAACATTCCAGGCATGTTTATCTGCCTGGAATCTTTTTTTCTTCACTATCTCTAATCTTGGATTGTTGTAGTTGTCAGTTTTTCCTTTTTTTCTTCTGTGCCGAGTGTAATAGTTTTTTATTGAAAATAATTTGAGCCATTATCTAAAGAGAAATTGAAGTTCATTTGAAATCCCTCTATCCTAAGGTATTTAGCAGGTAACATTCTGTTAGTCTTCCTTGAATGCATCCCACTATGAATTCATAAACATAAGTATGTATGTATATTTATATGGACTCCCCTAATTCACACTTTCCCAACCCCATCCCCTCAAAAGCTACATTAAGCCATTAGAAAACCTCTCTGCAAGCCTGTTCATGAACAAAATAGTCCTTTGTAATTCCACTGAACATGTTCTTTGCATTGTTGACCAACAAAAGAGGCAACTGAGGAGTCACTGGCTTTGCTTTATTGAGACCCTATGTGCTCCAATAATTGGGGTGAGATCAGATGTAATCCTGTTGTGAAATGACATTAACTTGTAAGGTAGAGCTCTTCTGTGGAGTAAAGGGTATCCAAGAACACTTCAGACTGGCATGGGTTTTGCTTTTCTTTGGGAGCCCAAATTTTTCATGATGTTTTCTGGTGGTTTTGTTTTTTGGTTGTTGTTGTTTTGTTTTGTTTTGTTTTTCATAAACTGAATCTTTAAGGATTTACTATGATAATACAATATTCAGAAATGTACAGTTAATTTAATTCAGTGGTTTTAATTAGATCTTTTTAAAAGTTCATGTTTTGCAATCAGGTGTTAAACTTTACAATGCATTCAGTTTGTATCTATTAATTTTCAGAAAACCTTTATATGCTTTTATTAGTGTAAATCATTGGAAACCATATTCTTTCAATAGCCTTACATTAAGTGATAATATTTTGGAGTCACAAATTGCATGCAATATCTTTTACTATTAAGGCTTATTCTAGAAAGTAAAGTTTTTATCAACCTAAATGAAGAATAATGAGAACTGAGGTGTAAAGTATTTCTTCCCAATTTCATAGATGGATATAGATAAACAGTAATGAAAACTTAACCACCGCACTTCACTCATTAGGTGGTTCTTCTGTTTAGTGAAGGGAGAGTCAATTGCTATTTGTTCAGACTTTTAGGGGTCCCAATGCAGTGATCTGCAGTTACTGTTTATAAAGCATTAGATCTGTTTTCCTGAGCTACACAGTATAATAAAATTGGCCAGAATCTTTGAATTTATGTGTATTTGCACTCATAAATATAATAAACCAAATACTATTTTGAGTGTATAAGTTCTTCGTAAAGGCAATATCTAAGTCTATTCGACATGCTCAGCACTATATATTTCATAAAACATGGCGTTTTATTTGCTTGTCTACAAAATTAATAAAATCTTAGAGCTTGAAGGATCTTTAGAGATTATTT